GATAAAGGTAGGATATTATTAATCAAATCTAAATCATGGTTGATTAGGGTCCCCTTCACACTATACAACTATAGCATTATTCCATTTTGGCCTCATTCCTACTACATAATAAATTGGGTTTCAAATCAATCTGAACTGGTTTCAATAATAATAATAATAATAATAATAATAAAATGGCCCTTGTTCACACTTGCACCAAATTTCTGGTACAGTTTGCCGAGGGGGGCGCAGTGCTAAATCCATTTAAACTAGTTCTTCTGGATTCACAGCATGACTTGCTTCTTTTGAAATGAATCGATTTAGCACAAGTGTGAACATGCTGTCTATTTGATTTGGTTCCTGTGGCGCAGTCACCCCTGTGAGGCAACTCCATGTTGAATTGATCCACTGCTGAATGTGAACGCAAAGTGGATTAAATTGAAATGGGTAGGTTTGATCATGGCTCGAATAGTGTGAATGTCTATTTGGCGCTAAGTCACTTCATCGATTCGACTAAAAAAAACTATATATTTTGTAGTGGGAATGAGGCCTTTAACTGTTATGGTCATGTCCTAAGGAATCCTTGCAGTTGAGGGAAGGGCATTTAGAAGTTGCAGCCAGAGAGTTCCTCTAGTGCCTCAGCAGAATGCAAATCCCAGGATTCCATAGGAGCTTACCATGGCAGTTGAAATGGAATCATAGCTCTGTAACTGTGTAGTGTGAATGGGTTTCAGGATTCTTCTAAAAACAGTAATTAGCAGCATAAATCTTTGCGTATTTATTCAAAGTTACATTCCACTGGTTGGTGAGGTTTACTTACTACAAGTAGCCAAAGTGCAGACCTTCAGATGTTGTTGGACTGCAACTCTCATTATCCTTAGGGATCACAGCCAATGGTGAGGAATGCTGGGAGCTACAGTTCAACAATATCTAGAAGTCTCCACTTTGCTCACCTCTATAGGATTTCAGCTTTCAAGAGCCAACTGGTGAAACAAAGATATGAGGAAATAACACCACTGTTTTTTGCTGTGGCAAAAACACCAGGCTGAAATTTCCCTTTCTTTTTCCAAAAAGAAATTTCCCTTTTTTTTCTTTCATGGAGGAGTTCACCTCTGAAAGATACCAGAAATAAAGAGAGCAAAGCAAATTTTTTACATGGAATGGCTATCATTTATTTATTAAACAAATAATAATACAGGTTTTATTTCTCCTTCCCAGTTATATAGAGATACTTCAAATGGGATACACATCAGAAAATAATTGGCAAATAATGGAAACAGAAATATTTATTTATTTATTTATTTATTTGAAGTATTTATACCCTGCTCTTCAGCCAAAAGCAGATCTCTTCCTTTTAAGTCTGGACCAAGGCAAATGGACTGGAGGGAGAGTCCTTCTTACTGTGGCTAGGGCCTGATGGAGATGGCTTGCCTTTCTCTC